AGATTGGACCTTATCAATCTTATCTTGCCAACAAACAATCCCAAATGATTATGTGTAGTTGATGAGTGTACCAAAAAAGGTTGAAGATGATGAGAATATTTGTATCTTTCAAGTTTCAATGCTTAGAAATGATGCATGAATGAGTTATTATATGTATGTGTGTAGAGAAGAAATGAGTAAATAAATGTTTAGCCAAAATGCAATTTTTAAAGTTTGCTTCAAATGTATTGACTCTAAAATGGAATGAGTCAATACACCATCTAAATGAGTCAATACGAGATCAAATGGAGTCAATGCATTCAAGGCAGTACCTAAATAATAAAAAAAAATTTTAGAATGAGTCGACTCCAAACACGGGTGAGTCGACCCATTCGCTCAAAGTATCGAACTATTTCCTCTTTGTATCGACCCATCAAAGGCAGTGGAAAATCTTTGAAAAATATATTTCAGATTGAGTCAACCCAACCAAGAATTAGTCAGCCTATTCGCAGGATGTATCGACTCAATGCTCATTTGTATCGACCCATAAGAGACAAACACAAATTCATTGAAATTCCACTCATTATGTATCGACCCATATTGAGGATGTATCTCCCATGCATGTTTTTTTTGTTAAAAACTTATATGTTGGCATGTGATGACTTATGTAATCTAGTCTTACATGTTCTATTATGGTGATGCACATTTTGACAAAGATTATAAGGTCCAAATACACATAGGTCTAAGCTATCTAGTTTTGACACCACTCAAAATACATTTAAGAGCAAATTTCACTCATAACCTATCGTACGGGCCCTTCATAAATAAGGTGTTCTTGTATTCTTCACTATTCTAAACCCGCATTTGACACCTACATTGCATTTTCATAAATAAAAAATTACACATCGAAACATAAAATCTTTTGCATACCCCTACATTTTCATGCATCCGCATACATGTACATACATTTACATATCATAAAGTGAAGACTCACATTTCTTCCCCCTTCTCTAACCTGGTACGTGCTAGCTAAATTCCTAATACTTATGAGCAAGCTCGAAGAATGTCTCAATAAGCCATGAAGGAACTCAAGAGAGGTCAAGGTCCAAGACCTGATCACAACAAGCAGTTAACTTTCGAAGGGGGGATCCCAATCGGTAAATGGTCACCCCTTACTATAACAAGTGCAAGAGCATTAAGAATCATTTTTAAAGTCAGTGGTTTAACAAGGAAGCTCATCCCTAAAATCATTACATGTTTTTTTCTAGTTGTATTTTCTTCTTGCTAAGTAGTGTTTGTTTTTAAATTTGTATTCTTTGACTAGTAATTTTAATAAAATAAGAATGTATGCTTTTGGAATCAACTCTTTCGTATTCACTCTTTCTCACACCATCACTCGCCACATACATGAATATCAATGCTTTTCATTTCACTTTTTCATGTTAACAAACTTAGGAGGAGAATGATGTAAATGAAATAACCGAATTGGCTTATGTATGCTTTTATTAGTAAGACCTGGCTGATGATGTAAGACATTATTTCACTTCCCAAACACTGGAGAAATAAGGATATGATCCATAGTCAACCCCCTCGAGCCTGAAGTCAGTGTTCTTTCTATTTATAAAAAAACCCTAAATCTTAACTAGGGGCAGGGTAGATTTCAATTAATTCAATGATGCATTCTAATCTCAAGATAACTATTCCATCTAATCACCACAATAAGAGGTTCAAGCATACCCTCTTCCTCGCACACATCATCCAACGTCGAGAAGCATAGAAAAGATTAAACTCACAATAGTTAAACATGGCAGTCACAACCTTTCTAAATAAAAAAATCTCACAAGAATCATTCCAAAAAGAAAAGTCCGCTAAGTAAAAAAAACCTTTAAGAAGTTGACTTAGGCAAAAGTTAGGGCATCCTGATGGACCTCAAATTCAAAAGCATTGGTCCATACAAAACTAGGGATTAAAAGCAAAAAAAGAAAAAAAAATAGAAACAAGCTTGTAACGAAAGTAGGTGACTGCCACCCCAAGAGTCTCACCAGTGCTTCAACCACTACATTTACCTCCATCATCATGACTACCAAAGTTCTCTTGCTGACTGAATGCATTCGTTGATGTAATTGGATTTAGGAATGAAGAACATAAAAGTAGTATGGGTGGGTAAAACCAAATTTTGATCTTTGTATCTTTTTTTTAACCATGAGCTAAGCCACATTTCAACCCTTAAAAACCTAATTGAAACTAGATTCACTATGAAACCATACTCAGCAAAATTCTGTTAAACTAACTCCTAAATGTTTGTTAAATCAACACCAACCATATTTTCTTACCACATCTTCACATATTTATTCGTGCCAACCTCATGGCCATATATCATTCATTGTACACACTATATCTGTAACAATTTTGGATTCAAAACTTGCATGAGCACTCCTTAAAATTACTTTTCCAAATGGAACAATTTTACTCGCAAATAAATACTTAGCATTGAGGAAATTTCAACAATGGTATGATCAGAGGTATACCACTTCAAGACACTTTTTGATTAGGGGAAAATAACTTAGGATCCTGCCGATGGGGAGCAAATCCTTATGAAATTTGGCACGTAGATACCAGATGTCGAGACAGATGTCACAACACTAGGATTAAAAATAGCTTGATCACAAATAAGTATGCGGAAACTTAAATGACAAAAAAGTAAAATAAGACCAGTAGTTGTTCGGTGCAACTCACCTACATCTAGGGGCTACCAAGTCATGAAGGAAATTCACTATGATAGTATTAGTTTAAAGCTTCCCTATTTACAACTTCTCGCCTAATCATTACCTTGTGCAACTTCTACCTAGACACTCTCTAGATATGAGTTCCCTCTCTCATTTCCTATCAGTCACAAACCAGTGACAATTCAACAACTATCCAAATAGAAGTACCAACCCTTCCAAGAACAATACTTAGTTTTGCTTAAAAGTTTCAACTAAGAACAATACAATCTTGCTTAAAAGCTTTATAGTGGATAATTTACAATGAACAATCAGTCTACCTCAATGCATCAGGAGATACATGAGTGACATAAAAATAACATACACTAAACCCTAAAGACCTTCCAAGACACGACTAATCCTTATTTCTTCAAAATCCACACTTTCTTTAGGTTTAGAAACTTCTTTAAATAAGCATCACAACTGCATGGGCTTGGGGTCTTAAAAGAAAACACAAAAATGCCAGGAATCAAGCTTTCAACCGTTAGATACTTTCCTGCATAAAAATAGGAACAAAATAAAAAGTTTCCTAAAAAGGTTCAAGGATCCTTTTTACAAAAACCAACACAATCTGTCAAAACAGAAGTTCCCACAATGTCCCACATGGGATAACACACACATATGAATTAAAACACACTAAAAAATCACACTAACAATACCAAAACAATCATGTCCTAACTTTCTGGTATAACATGTCATGCCACATGTTACAACATCATGTTGAACATGATGTCTGATTGTCATAGCAGAACATCTGGCTTAACATCTTGCTGACAACGTATTATTTTACCAAAATTTTGCCAATCAAAAAACCATAGAACTTACAATCTCACCCCTTTGGAAAATTTTGGCTACAAGAACCTTAGCACACATCAGAGGCATACACAGTGGAAACAAAACATAAGAACCAGAAAACAAGAACCATAAACCTAAAAGTGTCAAGACAATAGAGCACACCAGACAACACAATGTTAAGACATCTAGCCTGACATCACACATCAAACAGAGCAACACAAGCTACATGAGAACATGTAAGCTTTATACAAACTGCAACTTTGCAGCTACAGATTAAACATGTAAAAAGCTCCCCCTGTCATACATAACCAGTACTCCCCCTGAAGGGAAAAACTAAAATCATAAGAAAAAATACACATGAACTCTTGCAAGTTCATACAATAGAACCAAACTTCAAAAACACTAAGCAAAGGCACACTCCCCATGAACATCACAACCTACTGTAGAGAAAATGCATTTTCCCAGATGTCGTACCCTAAATTTTCCCACCTTTTTAGTTTTCATTATGTACATCCATCCACTGATCACCATTCAGAAAAATAAAAAAAATTATATGTTACTTCTATCATGAGGTTGAAGAAAAGCGAGTCAGGCTCCATTTGAGTTTTAGTTGGTCAAGATTAAAGTATAATACGTATGGAGATCCAGGGTTTTGATTTAATTTGTCGATAGGACAAGGGATTATTTTCAGGAAGCATGGATTTAAGTGGTGTGTACCTGGCGATCCAGCTAGAGTTTATGTGCCATTTTAGGTCATCTGTGTGTGGATCGAATTATTAGTCTTTGTCAAGTGCAAATGTTTCACGATTGATAGTCATCAGAATCCAATTTGCTTTTCAGTTAAGGTTTTGGGTTGTGCAGTTCATTTCAAGACGTCATCTTCTGATTTCAAGGCATATTGTTACTCATCTGGTTCAGGGGTTGTTTTACGATGTATTTTCAAGAGGAAAATCCAAAAGGGAGAATTTTGGCATAGTTCAAGTTAACAATTCAAAAGGAGTGTGATGAAGATTATGGATGAAACTTTGGAATCTCAAGATTAATGGTCATAATTCTAATCAAGAGTTCAATTATGTTATCATTTTATTTCAAGATCAAAGAATTGTAGTTACAAGAATGATTCAAATCAAAGTGTGAATTGCAAATAATATTGTTTTCTTAAAACCCAAGAATGAATTTACAATGGCACACTCAAAGTCCAAATAACAAGCCCATATCAATCGAAGTCCATTCACAAGAAAATAATACAACAATTTTATGGAGGAACCAAAGGTCCATCTAAAGTCTAAGCCCAAGATTCATTACAAAAATTTGAAAAAAAGGAAAATAATGAAGTGAATTAGCTCTTGGGAGCCTTTCTCTCTTAAAATGCAGCCGCGGCCCACCCACTGCTCTGGGACACCAAGTCTTTTTTTAACCTGCTACCAACAAATCCTCATGTTTTGATTCTCCGATCTTAATGAAATGGAACAAGGTAATAGAGGCACCATCATGATCACAAACGATGATGGAATCGACGCACCTGGCCTCAGAGCTTTGGTTGCCGCTCTCGTCGCCACCAATCTCTACAATATTCAAGTTTGTGCTCCTGATTCTGAGAAGTCGGCGGTTAGTCATTGTATTACTTGGATTCATCCTATAGCTGCCAAGAAAGTTCACATTGATGGAACCACGGCCTATGCAGTTTCTGGGACTCCAGCTGATTGCACTTCTCTGGGAATTTCCAAAGCACTTTTTCCTACAGTAGTTGATCTGGTATTAAGTGGCATAAACATGGGTAACAACTGTGGTTATCACATTATTTACTCGGGCACAGTTGCTGGAGCTCGAGAGGCGTTCTTCTATGATATACCTTCTATCTCCATTTCATATGACTGGGCTAAAGCAACAAGTAACCTACATGACTTTACCCTTGCCGCGCAAGCATGCATACCTATCATAAGTGCTTTACTAGCTGATATAAGGAACCAAAGATACCCTTCAGAAGTGCTTTTTGAATATAGATATTCCAAGCAATGTTGCTAATCATAAGGGGTACAAGTTGACTAAGCAGGGTAAAAGTATAATTAAAATGGGATGGAAGCAAATCGCCTCTGAGACGGAAGGACGGAAAATGTCTTCTGATATGACCACGGCAGAAGTAGCAGCGCGTTCGGATTTTAACACATCATCTATATCACTTGGAAGTCTTTTATTTGCAAGAGAAGTAAGAGGTGCTCAACATGATCATGATGATACTGATCATAGATGTTTGCAGGAAGGATATATTCACAAAGCCTAATGAATTCATGTTTTTTTTTATCCACATTACAAAGTTTCTACCAAGAATAATAAAGGCCCATGATGGTCAAAGCATCAAGGGCAAACTCATAGAGGCCATGCGAAAGATATGTGAAACACGAGCTTGCTTCCCAGTTCACCATACGGTCAGGCCACCGTTCCAAATAGACAACTACCTGCAATAAGCCCCATAACCAGCGGCAAACCTGCAAAACCAGTACTTCAAAACCATAACAAATCCCACGCCAGACAACCAACTTTTTTTGAAAAGCTTGCTTCAAACCAACCTCAATTGGATATACCACACAACAGATCCTCACTCCAAGCTACTCATAAGCAAAACAAACTGTCCTGCGATTCTCGTACAAAACACGATATCCACCAGCCTACACTGCCAAAAATCAGTGGTCCCGAATGCTCCTACACTGTCCAACAATCGTACCAGCCACTATCCTGTCTACACCGTACGTATTGCCACTTTCCTTTCCATGATGTAAATCTGCTAAATACATACAGCTTGCATCAGAAAAAACAAGAGATAGTGCTCCTTTCAACTACAACAGGAAAATAAAAAAAAGTGAATAAAAGTGGGTTGAACAAAGGTAAAAAGGCTGCATAATTCTCACCGGTTGCTTCGACGTTAATTCTTAACGGATTCATCACATAATATCAGACCATACACTTGAGGCCTATGAAGGCAATGGCTCTAACTGGAGACTTGCCAAAAGTGATACACCTGGTAATATTGGCAGTTTTGAAAGATGTTCTGTTGGCTAACAGTGAAATGCAGGTGTCTCCAGTTGTTGTTGGATTGTCACTTAACTCACGTGAAAGTGAGTGCACCATTGGATTAGGATTTGTTGGTCTAATTAAGAGACTACTAGGGATGGCTGAATTTCTTGATGACAGTCACTTCACAAATGTGGAGTCAGCATTGGTTGCTCTTGGCTGCAAAGAATGCCTTGTCCCAATTGAACGTAGAAAATCCATTAAATATAAAATGTTGTGTGATGTGTTGACTAAGTGCAGAGTTTTAACAACCACAACTTGATACAGCCTTCATAAAATGACAAAGATAAGAGAGTTGAGCTATTACAGAATTTGCAACTTACACATCTAGTTCTGCCACAGTTTCATCAAACCAACGTCTTCATGGCGTCTTGATTACCATAGAAGTCGAGCTCAACTGGTTGTTGAAACGTGTTGCTCTGAAATAAGTTGGATTTGAGTTCTGAATCGTGAATCCAATAACCAAAATGTGTTGCTGCTAAAACCATCTTCTTATGATGAAAGTCTCGCGCCGACTCTTATCCGATGGTAATGTTGTTCGAGCTATGCTGGAGGATGTGAAGTGGTCCACATTTCTGGTCCAACTGTAGCAGCACAAACCTCATAACATCGAAGATGTGCGATGTCGTAACAAATCTGTTTGAACCAAATTGTTAGGACTGCGACGAATTCACCATCGAACCGTTGTTAATGAAAGAGAGGTTGAAAGGATGACTTTATTTGCATCAAATCATGCCACTTACTTCTTTCCATAGAATTGATTTTATTTGACGAAATCCCAACTTTATTTCTGAAAATTCATCAAAGCAGTGTGGCATCTTTCCTTGTTGATGACGACATGCTCCCGAAGATCGAATACAGGGATATTGCGTCACACCGAATCAATATCAAATTGTTAGAATCTCTTAACTCGATCAGCATCGAATATGTCGACGTCAGTTTGTTGGTGAATGATTAGAGTTGCTGATGTTGTAGTAGTTGGTGATTCTATCACAGCATGTGTTGCACTTTGATTGAACAAAAATCATGAAGGGAACTAACAAAGCCAACAAGATAAATCCCCAGAAAAGGCATAAGGTCCAATAGAAGAACAATTTCCAATCCTAATGGGGTGGAGACTTAGAACTCATTTCTTTACCTCATGGCTTTGAACCAAAACACCTTCTGCAACAACAACTTCGTCTCCAATCAGCCCCAAGCCATAATAACAAAGAGGAAGAGCATTCTCAGCAGACCAAGAGTTTGTTTTCAGTTAAGAATGAAGAAATACCACATCAGCAAGTTTATGTCAATAAAATTGTTGTGTTACCACAGTGAAAATCATGAGTAAAAACAGACAATTTCAACAGCTGCAAACAGACGAAAATTATACCGCTTTCAATCCCACAACCTCATTCCTTACTCCCATTACCAGAAAGTAACTCATTTTCTTTCCCAAAGGAGGACAGACCCAAAGTTCACACGTTTTCTCTAAGCTAAACCCTAATCTCACATCATCAAGCCCCCATATATATTGGTTACTATTCATTCAAGGAGGAGGAGGCTGGAAAAGAAAACCCTAGAGCTTATGCTGCGCAACCCAAAACCCTTCACAGAAAATCATCAAAAAAAACACACTCATTTTCACCTTCACAACTGGGATTTTCTTTGAAGAAACAACTTTCAGTCACCATTAAACAACTCCTCAACCCTCTGTTCAGAACTGAAAACAACCTCCACCTTCAACAAGCTCTTCTCCTCTAACTCACAACCCTGAACCAATTTCATCCTCATCATCCTCTCATTCTTACAACCCCACCATTAACCTCTGGATATCTTCAACATTCACGTAACCCACCCAGAACCTCATCTGAACTCTCACCTTCAACCTTCGAAACCACTCGAAGCCACCTCTAAAGATCTTCAACTTTTGAAACCAACTCGAAACGAAAAACTCGAAACAATAAATTTTCTGAGCAACAATCTTCTTCATCCCATTTCCTTCGCCTTCAACCTCCAAAGCCAGAAAATCCACACGCGAACCACCACTCTAACACCGTGAAAAACCCAGAGCAACAACGATAAACCCAACCCGTTTCAAACCCTCACCGTCTTCCTCCATAAACACCGAAACTCCACCGTGAAAACCAAACCGTAACTTCATCCCGAAAAACCCAAACCACCATAAAGCACCCACAATAATAACCTTCTTCAACCATTGATCACTCTTTCAAACCACAACGACCAAACCTTTTCTTCAAACTAAAAGAAAACAACCTAGAAAAAGTTGAACAGAGAGAGAGAGAGAGAGACCGAGAGAGCAAGTTGTGAGACTCCAAGCGAAGAACAAAGACGGACCAACAGAAACCCTAACCCGAACCAAGTTGAGATGAAGGGAATTATGTCCGTGGAAGAAAGTTGGATTTGAATCAGAGGCTCTGTTTTGTTCTTCACGTGAATTTAATTTTGAAGTTGACAATTTCACGGTTACGCTTTGCACTTATCCTTCCTTTTCTTTTATTTAAGTAAAATCTGGTTTTGTTTTTTAGAATTGAACTTCTTTCTTTGTTTTTAAATGTGAACTAGGCTTAAGGCCCGTTTCTTCTTTTCATGTACATCATTTGTTTCTTTTGTTTGCTGTTGATTGTTGGGGATGAATGGGCCGTGAGGCCCATGATGATTCCACCCAACTTTTTCATTCATCTATTAAATTTTAAGAAACTTTTTTTTTCCTTTATTATTTCATTTTGATTTTTGTTAATTTTTATAAGGGATTTAATATTATTTTTATTAAATTAGTAATGTTAAAATATTGTATTAAAAATAATTTTATTTTTGTTGATGTTAAATCACGCTTGAGCTTATTTTGTGTATCACTTTCTCCTTCTTCGAGTGTTGGGATGCCCACTGTAGTGAGGGTGGTTTCGACACTCGAAGACGCTTTCCATCCATTTTAAAATCTCATCTCCTTAAAATCAATTCTTTGTATTGAATTAAAAAGAGAGGATTGGGTGTAGACCTCTTCATCTCCGAGTGTTGGGATGCCCACTGTAGTGAGGGTGGTTTCGACACTAGTCTTTCAATACGAAGACGCTTTCCATCCATTTTCAGATCTCATCTTCTTAAAATGATTTCTTTGTATTGAATTAAAAAGAGAGGATTGGGTGTAGACCTCTTCTTCTTCGAGTGTTGGGATGCCCACTGTAGTGAGGGTGGTTTCGACGCTTGTCTTTCAATACGAAGACGTTTTCAATCCCTTCTCTCCTAAAACCTCGGTTTCGTACCGAGTCCATTTTCAAACCATCTTTAAAACTAATTTCTCTTTGTATTGAATTAAAGAGAGAGGATTAAGTGTAGTCTTCTTCCTCTCCGAGTGTTGGGATGCTCACTGTAGTGAGGGTGGTCTCGATACTCGTCTTTCAATACGCAGATGCGCCTCCATCCACCACATCTCCCTCTTTAACTTCATTCCGTAACCTTTCTCACCTAAAACCTCGGTCCCGTACCGAGTGCATTTTCAAACTTCTTTTCACAAAAACTTGAATGGTCGTGGAGAGGTTAGGCGTAGGCCTTCTCCTATCCCGAGTGCTGACGTTTACCGTAGGGTTCTCTGTCGCAAAGCACTTACCATTCAAAACCAAAAACATCTTTAATAAGAGAACGAAGTTCTCTTTGCATTGAATTAAAGAGAGAGGATTAAGTGTAGTCTTCTTCCTCTCCGAGTGTTGGGATGCTCACTGTAGTGTGTGTGGTCTTGATACTCGTCTTTCAATACGAAGACGCTACGTTCTCCACACCCTTTCATAGACAAAAACTTTGAGATAAATAATTGGGTACTACCCGTAGGGGTTACCATCCGAGGACCTATCTCGCCCCCAAAAACAATCTCACCAATCAAACGTGACACCTTGCCTCGCATGGCGAAAACCTAATCATTTCAAAAAGGATATGTTACGTCCGTTCTACCGCAAATAGGT